TTGTGTTTTTTTTTTTTTTTTTTTTTTTTTGGTTTTTCCCAGGTCATGAGAGTGAAGTTAACGTAGGAGGAGGAATAGGGGCAAAATTAGGTACTTGCAAAGCCATTTCAGAGGGAAATTTTCTATGTACTGTAAGTTTCTTTTGCAGTACAAGTATGTACTAGCACTCTGTAACAAATGAAAATAGTATTTTTCTAATTTTTTAAAGCTGTTATTTAATTAGGATTTAATGTCGGTTCGTTATTATAAACGGAAAACTTTTACAGTTACTATCTAGGAAGTGTAACTATTTTAGTAATGGATAAGGTAATTACTGAAAGCCTTTCTCCCTCCCAAATGGGTCCACCAAGCTTGATTCAAATAAGTTGGAATTTAGCTATCTTCTAGATATTGAGGGTTTCGGACAGAAAAAAAAGCAGCAACTATCTAGGAAGTGTAATTGTTTTAGTAAATTATAGTGTGTTAGGTACCCATAGCCATTAGTTAGTTTGGTTAATGAACTGAAATAGTTTGAATTTTTGAACAAGGCATGTCACCTATAAATAAGACGAGAGTTTGAGAAAGAGATCTATCTGTCAATTTGTGAAAGGATTGTACACAAGAGAGATAAGAGGATTGTTGTAGGAAAATAAGAAAAGTAAGGAGTTAAGAAAATTTTTGCTCGGCCAATTGATTTCTAACATTTAAATTTTCTCTGTAATAGCCATTTTTGCTTAGATACTTTTGAGGAAACAGATAAATGTGTAGTTTTTATGTTCATATTGTCCTTTTGTAACTAGCAATTAACAAAATTAATTATACACATTACATAAAGTTGGCAAAATCTTTTTTAGAAAAATAAAAACTAAAATAGGGTTATTAAATTCCCTTTTATTGCAGGAAGAAACATGCATGAACAGGGTGATAAGTGACAATTCTCCTGTGGCTCTCTCTCCTGACGCTGATAGTATACAAACTGGATATAAAGATGAGTTCCTCCTACCTGAATTTGACGATCTTGTTAAGGAAGTAGACTTAGGAGCCACCATTGTCAGAAATTCTTTTATAAGTAATATGGAAGCACCCAGGTTAAAAATAGGATCTTCTATAGCTTATGTAGGTCCTGAGAAAGATGACTATGAGCAAGAGATAAGTCAACTCAGGAACATGATTAGAATGCTTCAAGACAGGGAACAAAGGCTTGAAGTTCAACTGCTTGAGTACTGTGGTCTTAGAGAGCAAGAAACAGCAGTGATGGAGCTACAAAACAGATTGAAAGTAAGTAATATTGAGGTAAAGATGTACAATCTGAAGGTTAAGACCTTACAGTCTGAGAATTGGAGATTAAAGGAACAGGTTGCTGATAATGCAAAAGTGCTGGCTGAGCTTGAGACTGCAAAAGCGAAAGTCAAATTGCTTGATGAGAAAATCAGATATGAAGCTGAACAGAATAGGGAGCAGATCATAACTCTTCAACAAAATGTTGCTAGGTTGCAAGACCAAGAGTGCAAAGATGTTGCTTGTGATCAAGATATTCAAATAAAGCTGCAAAAGCTAAAGGATCTCGAAGATGAAGCAGAAGAGTTGAGGAAATCTAATTTAAGATTGCAGATAGAAAATTCTGACTTGGCTGGAAGATTGGATTCTACCCAGATTCTTGCAAATGCATTTCTGGATGACCCAGCGGTAGGGAGATTACAGTCACCTACTCTTTTCCTTCAGTCACTAAATTGTTAGACCATAATTTTGACCTTATGCTTTTGTGATACAGGTAGATGCTGTGAAGAAAGAAAACGAGTGTATTAAACAAGAAAATGTGCGCTTGATGAAGGAAATTGAGCAACTTCAATCTGACAGATGTTCAGATCTTGAGGAGTTAGTATATATGAGGTGGATAAATGCTTGCTTACGATATGAACTAAGAAATCATCAAGCCCCACCTGGTAAAACAATTGCAAAGGACTTAAGCAGAAGCTTAAGCCCTGCATCTGAGAAGAAAGCCAAGCAACTTATACTTGAATATGCAAATGCTGATGGACCAGAGAGCATTGTGGACTTTGATATAGACCAATGGTCTTCCTCCCATGCTTCTTCTCTCACTGACTTTGGAGAGTGTGATGATTTTTCTTCTGCTGATAATTCATCTGCTGCCAGAGCCAGAACTAACACCACACGCCAGACCAAGCTTTTTAGCAAGCTTAGCCAACTGATACAAGGTAAAGATAGTAGTCATCACCATAGTCATGTTTCATCACAAGAAAAATCTGGATATCAAGATATCAATCCTCCACAGCTGAGTACATCAACTGGAACCGAGGCTCTTAGGAGTGAGTTTTCTACTTCCATTGTAACATCTAGAACTTCCTTTGATTTCTCAAATTTTGCGAGTATGAAGGAAGGAGATAGGAGAAATTCAGATAGCATTGCCATGGGAGGCTCAAATAAATTCAGTGCACGAAAAAAAGGTTCCTTCTCAGATTCCTTAGGCATGGAAAAATATGATTTGGAGAAGTATGCCGAAGCTTTAAAAGATTCTAGCTTGAGTGTTAGACATCAAAGGCGTAGAAGATCAGCATCATGTAGTTAGTTTATTGTAAGTTATTATTAATACACAGATTTAACCTTTTTCGACTGTGAATATTATGTATTAGAAATTTAGGTGGTACAGTAGACAGTGTAAATAAGCCGTTAGGTCCAGTTCAGACACCATCCGTATATTGAATAAGAATACATTTTTAATCTTTGCCAATATTTCAATAGTATCTTAGTAGTAAATAATTTTTTTAACTTGGAAATGTTATTAGTCACATTTTTTTTCTTCTCACAATTGGTTTACGAAATGGGAGTGCTACAATGTCTTGACTTATAGGGGTGACATGATTAACTAGTTAACACGTTTTAAAATTAGGTTAATTTGCGATGAGAGAATCGTAAGCCACATCATTTATGACTTTTGTGACTCTGTTTTGGTATAATATATCATTGCTCAAATTGTTAACATTTGCCTAATGTGCACTTAGCTTTGAATAACATTCAACCAGTTATTAGCATTAATGGCATATATGCTGACATCAACTCTTGCCGTATGTCCTAGCCAACCGATGATATCATTGTTACAAGAAAAACTTAAGATCTCATTTCAGTGTTTATGTCTATCGTGTTCTTCTGATTTATACATTTTAGGTGATTTCGTGGGTACGTGCTTATGAACGTAAAATGGAAAGCATAGCAGAAGCAATAAAATAATTTCAAATTTGGACTTCACTGTTCCTTGATTTCCACAATGACCATGACTAAATTTTTGAAAAATGATAAAAAAAAGCACAAATTAATATGAATTCACTAAAGATTTTATTAAATACTACAATACAGGCTTCTCTGGACTCTAGAAGAGAAATAACAAACTTTTGCGTCATTTCCATGAGTAGTGGTACACAGCTAGAACGTTTATGGCCCAAGAACCCTTAAGTGATAAGGGCTATGCCTTGTAGAATCAATGCATCGGCTAAAACTTGGTTAGCAGCTTGTGAAGGATGGACGCTGTCCCAAAACACATATTGTGTTGCATTAGAACAAGTTCCTGGTGATTTTGGATTGCACAATAAAGATGTCGTCTCCACTATCCCTGTACCACAGCAACCTCTCCTTGCCTCCGCAAAGCCTATTCAATATCACAATTCAGTTTAGAAGAATAAATAGAATTCTTTACACCAAGAGATGAAAGCCATATGCTATTCTATTCTAGTCAAAGTATTCTTACCAAATTTTGGAGGGGACTGAACAAGGTCATAAAGAGGTTTGAAAATATCAAAGACAACAATCTTAAGACCAGGATGTTGCTTTTGGAGATTTGCTGCAGCTGACTTGAGTTTCTTGTTAAATCCTTGGGCGTCATTGTTGGTCCTCGAGACACAACCATTCTCATGGAAACCAAACAAAGTTCTTGCAGCAGGTAGGCAACCCAGAGGTGGGAGTGAAGTCACTCCAACTTTCCTAGCTCCCAATCTATACAAGTCCTATGTTCAAAACAAACCACCTTTAAAAGGTCTTTCTTCTTTTGGCAAGGTTATGGTTTCTAAAATAGACTACTTCATGATGCTTATGACATGAGCTATAACTAATTATGCAGGGTAACAACAACAAAATACCTTAACAAAGCTTGAAAATGCACCCACAAGATATGCAGAATACTGATCAGGAGTCAAGACTTTATTGATCAAAGGATTGACGTAATAGTTTTGCACAAAGTCACTACTGCCAGCACTCAATAAGTACAATGCATCCTTAATAACCAATGCTGCTTTTTTACTGCCAGCTACCTTGGCCAGCTTGCCTTGGTATTCTTTGTAAAATTTTAACTGTTGGGACAATGGAATCGCATGCTGCAAAAAAAGAAAGTTAAAAACATTAATTTTCTAAGATATTTGTGAGTTTATGTGTGTATTTTTTTTTTTTTTTTTGAAACAGCAAATGTTAATTGTTAATTGTTAGTTGTTAGTGGGGGGATTCGAACCCACACCCTCCTTATCACTCCAACCCTATATCCCTCCCCCCAAGCCACTTAGACCACCCTTATGTGTGTATGATGTTCATTCCAAACTTACATTCAAAATAGCAGCCTTTTCATCATAACCAGAGGCAGCCGAAGCAAAGTTTGCTCCAATAAGAAGATTCTTCCCTGATGCTTGAGGGCTAAGATATGCAGGTGCATAACTCTTAAAACCCAAAGTTTCAGCTGCGAAAGGAAATTAACATTATTTAAACCAGAATGAAAATTATATATATGATATGAGTATATGTGCACTTTTTATCCAAGCTATGCAAGTTCCTCACCAGTGATATCAGTAGCTAACTTCCCATTGCAGAACCTCCCAGTGGGTTTATGGTTGACAAAGTCCCTTCCATAAGGAGGGTAGTTAGCCTTGAAAAGGGTGGGTAGATAGTCATTATTCCCCACATCCACGGCTGAGTCACCAAATGTTATGATTGCTGGCACAAGGGTGTTTTGTGCATTCCCCCATGCAAAGAAGACAAATACAAAGAACACAACTAGGGCTTCTGTGCTATGGATATGCATCCTTGTATCGTAATTAGTTAACAACAAGCTTCTTGAGGCTTTCTTCTGCACATGTATTATATTTATAACTGCAAGTTGAACTAATATGGCAACTGAAATGACCCTTTATCACCCTATTGATGAAGGAGGATTGAAGTTGGCAATGGCTATTAAATGAGAACACGTGGAGAGTGGTGACCCTTAATCTGAGACCAGTCGTTTTAAACTTACATGTGATTTTGCTATCTAATCACACACTCTCGTTTCCTGTCTGTTAACTTTTATTTACTACGGTGGCCGGTGAGGAAAGTTGTTGAAAATTTGTGCTTAGGAGGTAGCATATTAATCTTGTTCACGAGAGAGTTGCATGCATGCGTTGAAGTTATTCCGATTGGCGAGTTGGCGGTGCTCTATTTTTCTTTTTTAAAAAAAGATAATTCAAGTCGGACGTTTTAACTTCGGATTTTAGTAACCAGTATAAAAGGATTTTATATAACCGTCCAATCATGTTACATATTTCACACCATTTTGTACACTATAGATACGTTACACAGATTTGTCTCTCTTTCTAAGCTGTATATACGTATGCTTTTTACTTTACAGTTTACATGGATAATGGATAACAAGTCATAGTTGGAACCATAGCCTACAGGAACTACTGTTGGAAGGTTGATAACAAATTAGAAAATTGAATATAACATAAAAGAGAGAGAAAAAAAAACTAGAAAGCACATTCTTGATCACTATCTTGCATCCGGGCCACAATCAGCTTCAAGATCAATAACATTCATTTCAATCGAATTGATGCCTTCTTGTTCTCGAGCTGCTTCCATTTTTAAGGACTCTTTCAGTTCACCGACAATGTAACTCATTGATGGCCTTTGGATAGACATTGAAGGCACACAAGCTATTGCTGCCTCCACAGCCTTCCACATAGAACCAAAGTCAAAATCTCCCTGCATCCTTGGATCAACAATTTGTTGGATATCTCCTCTTGCAAGAAAGTTGCTAATCCATTGCACAATGTGAATGTTCTGATGACCCCTTATTATAGCTGGCTGTCCAGTAATTAGCTCCAAAAGCACAATGCCAAAACTATAAACGTCGCTTTTCTCAGTTAGCCTGCTGGATACGTAGTATCTGTAAAAGGAAAACTCATCTGCATCATGACTTTAATAAGCATAAATAGGTTGAAAAAGATACATAGAAGAAGCAGCATCATTTTTGCCTGACAAAACTTACTCTGGATCAAGATATCCAAATGTTCCAATAACTGCAGTTGATACATGACTTTCATTTTCAGTTGTGAAATCTTTTGAGAAACCAAAATCAGCTACTTTTGCTTGCAATTTCTCATTCAGTAAAATGTTTGCACTCTTAATGTCTCTATGGATTATTGGCGGCTTGCAGCCATGATGCAAGTACTCAATACCTAAACATATTGGTTTCAATACAGTAACTCAGTATACTTTAGTCACAGCAAAGTGATGAATAGACAAAGTAACACAATCTGTGTCACTGCTAACCTTGAGCAGCATCAACTGCTATCTGAATCCTCTCTCTCCAACTCAATGGTTCTCTCCTTGCATCTACTCAGACACAAAATAGAGCATGATTTCTAGTTCACTTTAATATAATCCTTAATCAAGTAACTATACAAATATGAAATGAATAGGATAACAATGAATATACCTGAAAGATACTCCTCTAAGTTCCCATAAGCCATGTATTCATAAATGATGGCTGTATGTCCAACTTCATTACAGTATCCAAGAAAGGAAGCTAAGTTCTTGTGATGCACACGCATTAAGAGTTGAGCCTGCAAACTCATGGAATGTAATTTAGCTAGAACATTTCTTTAAATTCAAAATATATCATCGTAAATTTCTATGGAGAGAAGCATGCCTCAGTCTGAAACTGCTGAGATGCTTGAGAAGATTTTTGCAAGACCATTTTGACAGCAACTTGTGTGCCATCCTTTAAGGAACCATGATAAACAATTCCACATCCTCCCTTCCCAATCATTTTGTCGAAGTTATTGGTAATAGTCAATATCTGAGAGTACGTGAACTGTTCATTGTTTGTCTTCAGCACAACTTCTTCATTTGAACTCGCAGCTAGCTTTGACGCTAAACAAAGTAATCAAAACTCATGATTATCGGAAAGTCGTGTCCATTATAGATTGTAAATTGTAATTTAAAAATAGGTGGCTTTCTTTTCTCATTTTTATTAACTACACTGTTTCTTCTTAGCCATTTGAATTGCAAAATATTAATTTGGTCTTTGCATAAAAGGAGTTCGTTGCATTTTGAAGTCAATGACTGTGAGATCCTCAATTTAGCTTCAAAGTTCAAAGTAAGACAAGTACTATTTTCGGACCTGGTTTTCTGTTGGATCTCTTTCTCCAAATGATAGTCAGTACAATACCCAATACAATGAAAAGGACTGCCAATGAAAGAATCCCTGCAACAAGTGGGACAATGTTCTTTTTGTCCTCTTCACATGGGCCTACCAGGCAGAGATCCGGATTTCCATCCACACTATGGTCATATTAATTTTATTTAGAAGATTGAAGAAGGAAAGCAAAACAAAGAAGTTACAAGAAAAAGTAGGTCCACAGCTGTGAAGCTTAGGTTAGTGAGTAACTCATTCACAATTTAACATCATGAATTCAGACGAAAACAAACCTCAACAAAAGTGA